TAAAAGTGTCTTTCATCTAATGGGCACTCAATACATGGTGAAGTGAACTTAACAAATACACAAGGTAAGAACATTGTTTTCAGCTACTAATCAGATCTCTAACATTACAAGTACTTCCAGCCGAATCACTTTGAGTGTATGACCAGGGACACATTGATGCAACAAAAGTTTATCAATTTCTCTGAGGAGCACCAATCACTTAGCAGTCTTTTCAGATTCCTTCATTTACGCACTAGACCATTTCAACCAATATCTAGGAAGGTGTTCTAGAGCTGATTTGCAGAGTCCTTTATTTCCCATCCTTTCAAGCACTGTTATTTAAGAGATGAAAAGTATAAGACTCTTAGATCTTATTTTTTCTTAATCAGTAAGAGGGAGAAAGCATGGTGTCAGCAGGGCTTGGCACAGGTGAGCACTGGTGTACATGATCCATGCAGATGGCTGAGGGCCCACCATACTGCAACTCTAGTAGTAAGGTCTGACACAAAGGCAGAGACACAATGTATAATGTAAAATGTACTATTTTTGGAAGGATGGGCAAACAAGTAGAGGCAAAACAAAAGCACGCAGTGGCATAAAGGACAAAGTTCTAGGGAGGCAGAGTACAATTACTAATGCACTAACAAATATATCAATATTCTAGACAGTGTGCTAAGCATTATACATGAATGACTTTATTGAACCATCACAAAAAGTGGCCACAATGCTGATGGTGATCCCTCTGTAGAAATGAATAAATTTGAGTTGACCAAGGATAATAGCTACTATGTAATGGGCTAGAATTCAAATCCACAAAGTATGACTCAGGAGCTATAATCTGAACTCTAGTTTCTAATTCTTTGTGTACTATGTGAGATTGAATTAGGAAATAGTGGATTTCTTATTAATTAAAATGGAATTGGCACAGCAAAGTAACTGCAGAAACTAGTATCTATGCTGGTCAGAAATTCACTGGGATACCCTTCTCAAGCTGGTGGACTCTATAATAAATGTCTCTGGATGGATACAGTCTTGTGCTAGTTCACATTTATAACTTACGGCCTAACCCATACACAATTAGAAACATCATAAGCTGTGCCCCATTTAAGAGCATGCCAAATGTCATTGATGGCAGAAGTGGGAGCCAGTGCTGGCAGGAAGAAATATATCCCAAAAGAGGCAGGTTTGAAGTTTTGGTTGAGTGTTTGATTAAGTTAGAATGTTGTAACTCAAGCAAACTACTCTGTATTCCACTGGTGTGCATAACGCTGAGGATCACCCACTATGTGCACTAGAGAACAGGTGACAGAAAACTGGAGGACTAATATGGACAATATTCAAAATAACCAGAAAACACAGAAGGGTTTTCACCTATGATCCATCTACATATACAATTACAGAATTAAAGTTCTGTAGTTAGTTTTGAAAATCTCTTTACTTAACATATTTAAAGACATTCTGTGAAAGGGGTTCATAATTTCATCAGGCTACAAGATAAACCCATGGCACAGAAAAGCTTAAGAATGGCTGGCAATAAAGAACTTTCTAGAGGGCCTCCCTCATGGCGAAAGGGGTTGAGAAGCAGCCTATGAGGCTGACTGCAGCTTCTGAGGCACAGTTCCATCCCCCAGCAGGCCAGGGAGCAGCCCGCGTGGCACAGCAGACCTCTCCTGGCTCACCCACTGCTCCCCTCAGCAGTGTACTTTGGTCAGTCTGCCTGTTCTGTTCCCTACTCTGTCTCTGGTTAATCCTCTCTCACCCCCCCCCCCCAACACATCTGGCCTATACCCCAGCTCTTGTATGCATAAATAAATAAATCCTTAAAAAAATAAATAACTTTCTAGATAGTGGAACCAGCTTTTACCAAACTGTAATCATTTCAATGGTAATCTCTCCTCTTTGGAGAAGTCATAATCCAGGTAATAGTATGATTATCACTACCATAAAACAACTATCATATGTGGAGTTGGCACTGCTGGTATTCAGAAGCCAGAGAGACTACACAGGATTCTAATTAATGCTGACCACCCTAAAATGGAGACAAACAAAATTCTCCATCTAATCTACTTAAATCTGTCAGAGTTGACACCATTATATCTGTGAAAAAAGTAATTATTCTGAATGCAAACACTGTTAATATATTTCATTGTTTGATTAGGTCTCCTGGAGGTTTAACATAATTACCTGATTCTTCCACATAAAGAAATAAAAAAAGAACAATATGGATCAGATGGCCTCCTGTGTCTGCTTCTTTCTAGGAGAGTGAAGTATATTAACTCCAATATGTGAACAGAAAAGAAAGAAAACGAGTTGATTTGTCCTAATCCCTACTCCAAATGGTGCAAGACAGAAGAACTTGGCTAAATAAAAATGAAACATAAATCCAAAGGTAATTCACATTTTTCTTGGAAATCCATTTTTAATATTGTACCAACTATGAATGTGTCTAACATCCTCAGAATTAATTTCATACTAGATTTACACACACACATACACACACACACACATATTCAAAACTCTTTATCAGAGGATATCAGGAAGGATAATGTTAATATCCTTCAATAATTTTTCTTGACTTATGCTTTAAGCTCAAAGTAAAACAACACATGCAAAATCTGGCTCCACAATAGTAAATTTAGACCATGAATGAAGTTAGAGACACAAATGTTGATAGCAAAAACAAGTTGGTGAATTTATGACACTCTAGTATTTAAAATGTTACATTTTCTGATATTGTCCATTTGAAGTGGGCACAAGATTAGAAAATGCATTTTAATTCAAAACACAAAGAATTTTTATAAATCAGAAATACTCAAGCCTATTTTGAAAGGTTGAAAGGGGCAAATGGTTACCTATTGCTCCTCCACATAGATGTTCTCTTCTGTCTTCCAAACTTTCATAGACTCCAGATCAATATTTGGTGACATCAGATTTATATTCTAAGTTTCAGAGGTTTAAAAATTAAGTTTGCATTTGGCTAAAAGTAAACTGAATATTTTTAAAATATGCCAGTATCTTTTCAGTTATAATTATTCATTAGCATTTGATGAATGTTTCAGATGCTTTGCTACCAAAAAACTTTCTTCAAAGTGTGTTATTTAAAATTTCAATGACATTCTTCAAAGAAATAGAACAATTATTGATGAAATTCATATGGAATCACCAAAAACCCCAAATAGCCAAAGCTCTCCTGAAAAAAAAGAAGGGAATGGAGGCATCACACTCCCAGATTTCAAACTATACTACAAAGCCACAATCATCAAAATTGCATGGTATTGGAACAAGAACAGACACACGGACCAATGGAACCGAATAGAAAATCCAGAAATAAACCCACAGATTTATGGTCAACTAATATTTGACAAAGGAGCAAAGAATATGCACTGGAGCAAAGAAAGTTTGTTCAATAAATGGTGCTGGGAAAACTGGGTTGCTACATGAAAAAGAATGAAGCTTGACTACTACCTCGCACCATGCACAAAAACCAACTCAAAATGGATTAAAGAACTAGACATAAGACATGAAACCATAAAATATATAGAAGGAAATATAGGTGAAACACTACATGACATGCACCTCAAAGACATCGTTACAGACACATCACCCAAAGCAGTGATAATGAGGGCAAAGTTAAACAGCTGGAACTACATCAAATTGAAGAGCTTCTGCACAGCAAAAGAGACAATAGCCAAAACAAAGAGAAACCCCACCGACTGGGAAAACATTTTTGCACACAACACTAATGATAAAGGACCAATCACAAAAATCTACAAAGAGCTGATGAGACTCAACAACAACAAAAAAAAACCAAAGAAAATAATCCAGTTAAAAAATGGGCAGAAGGGCCTCCCCGGTGGTGCAGCGGTTGAGCGCTGAGTTGCGAGGCTGCCCACAGCCTCTGCAGCGCCGGTTCGATCCCAGGCTGCTCCCCAGCCACCGGAGGAGGGTCCCACATGGCGCACAGACCTTTGCTGCCGCCCGCTGCTCCCCTCAGCAGTGTACTTCGGTCCTTCTGCCTGCTCTGCTCCCCGCTCTGGCTCTGGTGAATTCTCTCACCCTCCCGCGCTTCTGACTGTACCCAGTGCTTGTATAAATAATAAAATAAAATAAAATAAAATAAATTAAAAAAAAGAATTGTAAAAAAAAAAAAAATGGGCAGAAGAGCTAAAAAGAAACTTCTCCAAAGGGGAAATGCAAATGGCCAACAAGCATATGAAAAAAATGTTCAACATCACTTGTAATCAGGGAAATACAAATCAAAACTACAATGCCATACCACCTTACACCATTGAGAATGGCACATATTAAAAAAACTGGCAACAACAAATGTTGGTGAGGATGTGGAGAAAAAGGAACTCTCCTGCGCTGCTGGTGGGAGTTCACTGGTCCAACCACTATGGGAAGCTGTGTGGGGATTCCTCAGTCTGCTAAAGATGGAGCTTCCATATGATCTAGCAACTCCACTCCTAGGTATTTACCCAAAGGACACAGAAACATTAATTTAAAAGGGCATATGCACCCCTATGTTTGTAGCAGCACTATTTACAATAGCTAAACTATGGAAACAACCCAAATGCCCAAATATAGATGACTAGATCAAGAAGATGTTATATATATACACAATGGAGTATTACTCAGCAATCAAAAAAGATAAACTCATGCAATTTGCAGCAACATGGATGGAGCTGGAAGGGATCATGCTCAGCGAAATAAGCCAGAAAGAAAAAGAAAAGTACCGGATGGTCTCACTCATAGCAGGAATTTAGAAAACCTAAATAAGGGACCAGGAAAAAGACTAATTGCAATAAAGTAAAAATCAAAATCAACAAGCAACTATAGACCAGAGACACACTACAGTGTGGGGGCGGGGGGAGGAGAAGAGGGATTAGGGTCAGAAAAAGAGGGTGGGAATTGTATGGGGAATATAACCAAAATGAAAATGCATACATTATGCAGAAATGAAAAATGATGTAAGAATTATATAAAATAAAATAATTCATAAAAAAACAAAGTATGCTATTTATATTATTTTATATTTTTAAATAGTGGTAACATTGGTTTATAACGCTGTACATGATTTAGGGGAACAAGTTCATACCTCTTCATATGCATGTCTACACACTACATCCATATTTTAAAATGTTCTAAAAAGATTGTCTTAACTTCCCAACCATATTATTATAAATCAGAGGAGATGGGCAATATTTTGTATGATTTTAATGTTTATTTGACATTTCATTTCTCATATTTTTTAGAACAACGAATATCTTTTCCATAAAAAGTGGAAAAATCAGAATAAGAATTCCAACAAAAATTTCCCAGATTGTCTCAAAGAGGTAATAAGGGGGGGCTAGTGTCTCAAGTGTCCAAAATCTTTGGCTTTTATATTGATTTGCCAAAATAAGAAACTGAAAGGAGATACACAAACTGAATAGTAGAGATTTACCTACTAGGATCCTTATATATTTTAAATCTTTGATTTTACCAATTATGACCTGGTTAATGATCTAGAAGTAAAAGGAACTAAAAAGCCTTCTGGGAGTTATAATATGAGGAAAATGTGAAATATTAAGGTGGTATGGTTATATTGTCATAGATGATGCCACAAGAAGGCATGTGTAAAGTATATAAATCGCTATATTCATTTTCTTAAAATCAAATAGTTTCAACTGATCATTAATAAAAAAGTGCAATGAATAATATGCCACTAATAGGCATAACATCAATGTAAATATTACTGTGCAACTAATGATTTAATAATGTAATACAAGTCATTCTGAAAAAAAAAAAAAAACAATAAATTTTAAAATAATTTTAAGCCACTACTCCAAAATATGATTTGATTTTAAGGTTATAATAAACTCAGAAAAATACAATTTACAATAGATTTTAGATTTATTAATAGCGTGTAGTAGCTTCTTTTAATTGATAATTCAAGTTTTTATCCTATTTCTTCAGTTATTAAAAAAAGTGGTGTAACTGAAATTTGATTTACAGAGAAATCATTCTGAATCCCATTTTCCCCCTATATTTTGTGGTTGGGAATTCTAATAACCCTATAATAAACAAGGACAAAAAGACATTAAAAATAATCCTACTTGAAGAAAATATTACAGTAATATAAAATCACACAAGAACACGAGAAATCATTTTTTCCGAAGTTTAATTTCAACTAATGAATTTTAAATGATAATATAATGTCAATCCAAATCTTTGCTTATCTGCATTGCATAAACTATTTTGTAACTTGTAGATGGAATAGATTCTTTTCACCATGGTAACATTTTCACCCTTATTTATGTCATTCTGTTTTCTTCTTATTTTTCTTGAGTCCTTTTCTTCAATAGTTGAACAAGACATTCCTAGATTGGCTAAAGAGCAATCCTAGCACAATAATGTTTCAACTTGCAAGGAAGAACACCCTTATTCAGTTGATAGAACTCCACCAGCTGGATTAGATCTGTAAATCTTGTATGGCCTTCATCGAGTGTGTGGAACATTTCACCATCATCTTCCACCTACAAGTGGAAAAACAACAAACTAACAGAAGGGCAGAATACCCCAAAGGACAATCACAGTCTATCACACACTGTTGTCTTTATATGCCAAAACTGACAGGCTTATAAAACTAGAGGACAATAAAAAGAATGTTATGGTGTGTCCTCTTCTTTTTAGTAACTTTGTTTGCATTTAAAAAAAGTTCATCTGATCTGAGGATAAGTAGTGTGGTTTCACATTCTGTCTCTAATTCACCCAACATTATGCAGTTGGAATAGTAAGACTATTCTTCATCAATGGACAGTGAGAAATCTTTACTATTCAGTGTACAAGTAAAAGATTTTAATGTTCCCACTTAGAGAAAATTAATTTCCATTTCTAAATGTTATCTACTTCATAGCCTCATTTAGTATATTAAAAATGGGGCCTCCCCAGTGGCACCACGGGTTGAGCGCCGTGCTGTGAAGCTGTCCACAGCCTCTGCAGCATGGGTTCAATCCTAGGCGGCCAGTGAGAATCCCACATGGTGAGCAGACCTCTCCTGGCTTGTCTGCTGCTCCCCTCAGCAGTGTATTTCAGTCAATCTGCCTGTTCTGTTCCCCACTCTGTCTCTGGTGAATACTCTCACCCTCCTGTGCCTCTGGCCTGTACCCAGCTCTTGTATAAATAAATCTTTAAAAAAAATGAATATTCACATAATTTGTCAGCAAATTGATACTGAAGTAATCGAATATAGATGCAATGATAGTTGTCTTTTTTTTTAAGATTTATTTATTTATGATTAAAAGAACTGGGATATAGGCCAGAGGTGTGGGAGGTGAGAGGATTCACCAGAGACAGAGTGGGGAACAGAACAGGCAGACAGACTGAAGTACACTGCTGAGGGGAGCAGCGGGCAAGCCAGGAGAGGTCTGCTTGCCATGTGGGATTCTCGCTGGCCAGCTAGGATAGAACCCACGCTGCAGAGGTTGCGGACAGCCTCACAGCGCTGCGTTCAACCCTTTGCACCACCAGGGAGGCCCTTGTCTTTGTTTTTTAATGGGGGGCAGCACTGAGTTCTTTTAGCATTAAGCAATTCGAACTTGCCAGGAACGTTTGCTCACACAATTAAGAAAATAGGAAAGGTACTTCATATGGACTTAGAATAATTCCAAAAAGAAGCAATTTGAAAGGAAACACTAGCAATGTAGCAGTCTCATGTAATACTTTTGGCAAAGTAGACTAAATCTTTATTATTCCACACTCTGGTTCCAACATAGCGATCACAAGCAGACATACGTTCATGCATGCACATACAGACACAGGTGTGCCGACACACTGGACAACAGCACAAGCAACACAAATCCTAAAGCGAGTTGTGCCATCCAGAAACAGAATTACAGAAAGTTTTAAATGTGCTGAGAATATTTTAATTGTTTTCTAGTTTCAAAGCACCAATGTATCTATCTATAATGATTAAAAACAAAAATACAAAAACAAAAAGATATTTTTGAGATGAGAGGAAGAAAGGACTTTAAAATAATGATTTTTTTAAAGAACCGCTGGTAGAATTCAGAAAGAATCTTTAGTGGCCTTTTAACAATAGGTGGCATGGGGTCTATGCAATATTGCTAAATCATATTTCATGGGAAAAGGGAAATTTAATTTTTACAATTCCTGTATTTCTTATATTAATTCAGGCTTATAAAACTACTTCTGCCAAACTTAACTCTAGTCAAAGCACAAGCTCCCAAATTATATTTAATAAAAGAACCAAAGAAAACCAAAGTTTCCAAAAGCTTATGTATTTAGATGATTTCTAATACACAAATGTGAAATCACAAATTACTTACTGGTATAATTTGAAAGTGCTTTATTTTTTGTCCATGACTCATTGACAGTACGAAAGTTTTGGGGTTACTCTGACTATCCCGTACCAAGAAAACTCTAAAGAAAGAGAAGGAATTTCAATATGTTTCTACATTTACTCATGGATTTTACAGATACATACTGTATACAAATCTAGGAGGTGTACTCATAAACATTGCCGTTGATTTCCTTTACTGTGGTATTATCTAGCGTGGTAAACAATATGTTATAATATAATCTTATGCTATTAAACTACCTTCAGTGCTAAAGGAATTTTAATAGGATGAATGTACAGCTCATTTTTCAGATTATTTGTGCATAATAATTATAATGCTATGTTAGCATCAATAATTAGTGCTATGTCCTTTTTCCCTGGGGAATCAGTATTCCCATGAAAGTCTCCTGTAGGAAAATGAGGCATTAGCACATTGTTATTTTAACTTCTCTATCATATTAACCTTGAACAGAGAAAATTATTGAAAACAAAATCACTTTTTATTCCCCTGTTCTACACTGGATTCCCTTTTTCTTTTTGATTCTAGTTCTTACTGGTAGATACAAAACAGAAATGAATATATTCTAAAAATCAATCTTGGAATCATTTGTTAAATAACTGAGGAAAATATAATAAGTAAAAGAAACACCCTCACAACATGTACTTTAACCTTGAAGAAAGCAGCAGAAAAGCCTCTAAATTGTCAGGCTAGGAAAACAAGACATAGCCTGATGGCCTAAGAGAAAAATGCTGCCAGGCATGGGTTCTTATTTACTGGCGTACAATGCAAGCAAAACTAGCTTTGTGTTAATTGTTGGCAAACAGACTGTGCAAACAGTTCCCACTGGTGACTCCAATACTAATCTCACTGGGCCTGGGCAGAGGCAACCAAATTTGAGCCATCGCATGTCTAATGAGGTTACCCATTTCATTAGTGCTGTGTGAGATTCTGACATTACATCACTGAGAAATGGGACAAAAGTAAGTTTCATTGGTAAATCAAGCTGTAATTCTCTCCCCATTCCGGAGATCACCACTACCACCTAGTGGATTGCTTAGCATCATTGCATCTTTCCAAAGGACACAAAACAAAATTTTAATTAAAAAAGTAAAGATATTACCACTCTTTATATAATTATTTCTCTCTTTTTACAAAAACTGGGTACACAAATAAAGGCAATTATCATCCTCCCAAATATTTCAACCATTTCTATTGTTTATTGTTTTTTTTTATCTCATCAGATAATTTGGTTGATTGTACAAATTTATATCAAAAAACTGTTCCATGCAGAGGAAGTATATTGTAATCTTTGCTTAGAAACTAGAAGATACTGAAATTCTTTTAATAATTTTTTATGTGAAGATTTGAATTTATCCAATGTCAATATTAAATCACCTTGAAATATTTTCACTTTCATCATCATAAACCAACCCCTAAAAGAAAAGATCCCAGTATCTCCACTTGTTTAAATTGATGCTACTCTAATTTCTCATCCAAACCTCAACACAACATTCCTAATTTGTATTGCATTGGGAAGGGGAATTTTGCAATATCTGAATATATTATGAGTGGTATCTGAAATAATGAGTAATTTGAGAAAAAAATTATGTTTTTAATAAAATATTTTATATTTCTCTAGCATTTCCATAGTAGCCCACTAAAAGATAACAGGAGAAATATTCAAGAAGTACTTTTTTATATAGTTTTCTATTACTTTAAGCTGTTCAATTTTAGAGACAAGAAAATAGGAATATAAACAGAGATAAAAAGTAAAACAAGCAGTCAAAATACATAAGAACTACTTTCTTAATTAATAAACCTTGCATTACACTTAAAATATATAACATGTAAGACAATGTCATGACATTAACTGTACTTAGGTACTATATTAAATACATGTTCAAATCAAAATGCTGATACCCAAAATCAGTTCAGATTTGTCCCCATGAATTGATATCTAAGATGATATTTGCACAGGAAGCGCAACTAATAAACACTGGTTAAAAACAGAACATCCTATTCGGTTACCTGTTTATTTATATATAAACACTAAGCACTTATTTACTGGCATACAATGTATACTATGTATATTGGTATGTATGTATCTGGTATTATACTATGTATTTGGTATTACATTATGTATCTGGTATTATACAGATATTGCTAGAATTCAATGTCACCCAAACTTCTATAAAAAATGTCACTTCTGCTCTGTGTCAAGCCAAAGTCAAAACTCCGTACATATTGAATAAGTAATCGATAATTAAAGGTGAAATGAGAATCACTGAATCATTCAAAACTTAGACTTACCCATCTACAAGTCCTTGTTGAATAATCAAACGTTGAGCTTCATCTCTAGAAATTTTGTGGTGAAACCATGGCTGGGACCGGTGGATAGCTGCAGAAAATAGAGAAATGCAAAACTTGGTTTGAAATGATCACAATTTAATTGCATGTATTTTCCACCAAAACAACCCAGTAACTATGGCTGAGCGCACATCTATCCAACCCTTCACTCACAGTGAATGTGCACAGACTTACCTATGTTTGTGGCAGAACTCTGTGAAGAGGCAGTGGGGCTACCATGAGTAGCCAGGCGTAAACATCCTTTTTTCTGCACAAGAAAGGGGAAGAACAAATTTCATTTCTGGGATGAAACAAATTCAAAATCTTAAATATTTTGAATAAGCTGGAGTTACTTGTACCCTCCAAGCAAGTCCTTCTTCAACTGCAACTGAAAGGGCTTCAGTAGGATTTTCTATAACTCTGCTTTTCTGGCCTGAGAAGTCCATTGCTACCAGGGAATTCTCTGATATACTTCTCTGGAAAAAAAAAAACACATTTTCTTACTCAGAAAGTATCTTTGAAATGTATCTTTCAAAAGATTGCCAGCAATAAGTTTCCAACCTAGGATGTGGTTCCAAAAACAGCCAGCTAACAGGAAATTAAAAAGTTAAAAATACACATTAAGATATAAAGGTGCTATGAAATACTTTGGCTAAAATAAGTTACACACTTTTTGTTAAGGTGATTGAATAGAGATTAAAAGCTTTCAAAGTAAGCATGTTTTCCCTTAAAAAAGACATCTGTCCAAATCTCCAGTCAAGAGGCTTATTCAGTTTATAAAAATAAAACTCTCTAAAAGAAAAACTTCAAAAAATCATGGAAAATCCTTAATGCTTATTCCCCACAAGTGAATAGATGTGCAAAAACCCATTACATGGGGTTGTAATGATAAAGGGTGAACTGAACTGCTTCTGGGGGGCTCATGGCTTCAGACCATTTTATATCTCTCCATAAGGATTCAGTCACCCAACTTGGTCTAATACACTATAGTCAAATGTACTCTTGCAATAAGACCTTGTCTACACACAAAAAAACTGGGGAGTTCATTTATCACTGCATCACACATTCCATTTTATGAGCATTTGTTATTTCCTCTTCAAACCATGCTGTAGTGGTCCACAATCTTATTACTGTTCATCTTTATTTCTAGCGATCCAGCGTGCAATCTTTCATTTGTTACAGGAGCCTTTATAACTGACAGCTGCTCTTTCCAGACAGATGCTGTCTCTGTAATCTCTATTTGCTGTCACACCTTACTTTGCCCTTCTCACCCCGTGATCTTCTGTGCTGGGCTGTCGACCAGTTGGATATACTTTTACTTTGCCGACATTAATGAAAAGCCTCCACCTGCTCAAACCACCAAGTAACTAATCTCAATCATAATGATAGCTTTATCCTTATAATATCTACCATCACATGCCAAGATGGACTCTGTAATCACAAGGCCCTGATAACATAAAAATACTGATAGGAAAGAAAAATAAACATAACCAGTTGTTCTTGCTCTCCTCTCTCTCCTTCCAGTCCTCCCTCCCTCTCCTCTCTCTCTCTTCCAACCCCCTCTCGCTTGTCTATAATATCACAGGCCAGAATCTTAAAACAAGCTTGTAATTACTTAATATAAGTAAGGAGGCTATAATATAAATAAGTCTTTGAAGTATTTTCATTTACTATATTAAGTACGTAAGGGAAACACAGGAATATAGTAAATGTTTTCTACTGAATGGCAGGTGGTGGATAAAAAATTAATAGTTTACCTTTGGTGGACAAAGAAATGGAAGGAAAGCAGAATCTGACTTGAACTCAAAAGGTCATTTTCAGCTCAATTCCTTTCATATAGGAAAGTGATGTTGATAACATTCAGAATCAGTGTATTTCTCAAATCTTTGTCCCTTTTTGGAGCTCTTTCTTTTGGTGGGATAAACAGGGCATGCTCTAAATATGGGACCATAATTTCAATAGCATGCTTCTCTTTTTTTAGAAAGAGCTCTGGATATATCCTGGATTATCCAGATGTCATTTTGAGCAGATCCAGTCACTCTTAAGTTTGGATATAAAATACTTTCAGGAAGTGTAGCAAGGTGGCAACCAGTAGTCACACACACTCTGTCACCCTGTTTGAAAGATCTCTATATACCTGCAGCATAGTCCTTAGAAACAGGGCACAGAAATTCCTCCAACAGAGTCCTCTTATTTGCTTCTTATAGAACCACAGAGCATCATAGCTATAACCAGTTCTAGAGTTTATGTATCCATGCCCCTTATTTTGTACTGTAGGACATTACTGACTCAACCAAGGTCACACAGACAGCTTATAGTAAAAGCAGTGGCAACAGACTCTATCCAGGGTTCTTTTCCGTACCACAGACTGGGAGGTACAGGGAAAGTACTGCAGTTTGTGACATTTAGCTCAGGGTCAAGATGAGGGATAATAAGAACTTGAGAACAACTATTTTCTCCCTATTCTCACTCTAGCCAGGAACAAATTAACAGATGCTGCTATAAATAAATCCATTGTTTGCCCTAAGAAGATACCAAATATATTTGGCTTCCTGAAATATTTGCTTATGCCCCTCATTTTAAAGGAAAATATGAATGGTTATTGTGTGTTATATATAGCACCGATGTTCATTATGGTATGAAAAGTTTTCTTCACACACACTTTCTCAAAACATACACTGGAAGAATTTAAGAATATTGTTCCTTTAAAAATATAACTGAGTAAATAAAGTTTTCTGTGTTCACTAAACATAGTGTCTGGATAAAAATCCAGGAGAGGGACACTGGCATCCATTCTATAGCTCACTGATTCTTCCATATATTCTAGAAAGGCTGGGATTGTGTTAGCTCAGTGATTACTTCTGTGAATGCTTCTGATAATCTGGAAAAGGGAGGATACTGTATAGTCAAGGAGATACACAAGTACCTCCTCAAACTTCTTAGTTTCCTTTACAAAAATTAAGAAGAGATATGTGACTCTGAAGTGCTAATTCACTCTGATCATAACAACCTCCACACAGAACAGGCCACCTGACAGAGGCACCTAGACCTCGGCATCTTCAATCTTCAATTAGCAGTGTATTTTCCTCTGCATGGTGTGGAAGAAGGAAAGCTACACTAACCAAACTGCCCTGCACATAACATAGTGATCAGCAGTAGAATTGCTTTCAAAAGGGAAGAGACAAGAATAATATCATACTTATATGCTAATGACAGTGATGAGGCTAGAAAATACTTTGCTTATAACAACTTTGTCCTATCATTGAGAGGACACTAAACAATAATAGCCTCCAAATCTATGGCTGCTATTAACATGCCCATCCTGCTAACTTTACACACTAAGGGAAATTTAGGAGGATTTAGAAAAGGATTAAGATAATAAAATTCATTATTCTTCACAGATATATATGGATTGAAAGATAAGGGTAAGCTGACAAATTGTAAAAGTACTCACCTTAAAGCAATTGCTTTTATGAAAATTCATTACATTCCTTAGTTTCTTATTTTAGGGCTTAAAAGTAATAGGATACAAAGATGAAAAGTTATTCTTTCACAACTTAAAGTGATAGAACTACAGAATTGGAGTTCTTTTTCCATATTAGTCTATCAGGCTTCATAATCAACATTATTTCACGCCTCATTCCTAGACTGAGCATTTCATCTGTTACATTATATGTGGGAAATGCGCCTTTCTTGGTCACAGCCAAGAAGAGCATATTTTTAACCTAAGTGAAAATGCAGCACGTTAGCTGACTTGTAACATAGGCGCATACATCTGAATTCTTAATACACTCAATATTAAGGAGGACGAGCAAAAATAGCAGAAAATAAACTTTAAGTTCAGAAATAAATTTGTGTTAATGCACAGGAAAGTAAAATTAGGCCCTAAAAAACAGAAAAGATGTGTCTGTGTGTGTCTGCAAATATTCAAGTTGCATTTGTGTGTATCTCAGAAATGGTGCTAGACTTAATGTAATGCACGACCTATATTTCAGCTTGCAGTTTTTAGCTTTCCTGGAGAGAGCAGTCTGGTTTTGAAGGACCTGGGACTTTGAAAGTTTTATTGTTAGAAAGTCAAAATGTAAGAGCATAGTGTGGCATTTAAAATTCCAAACCACTGACAATTTTATACCAGGTTATGACAATCCAAGAACTAACATTAAAATAAATTAACACACAACCAAAATCTGTAATTAATAAATCATCTGAAATCCCAAGAAAAAGGTTCTATAAATTGTTTTATTAAGATCCAATCACCAGGGCCTTTCTGATGGCCTAGGGGTTAAGTCTCAGTGCTACACATCAATAGCCCACAGCTGCAGCCTGAGTTTAATCCCTAGCCAGGGAGTTAACACACATTGTGCAGCAGGCCTCTCCTGTGTCTCCCGCTGCTCCCCTTAGCAGTATATTTCAATAGATCTGCCGGTTCTGCTCTCCACTCTGTCTCTGGTGACTCATCTCATGCCCTGCACCCCTGGCCTATACCCCAGTTCTTCTATGAAAAATATATAAAAATAAATAAAATCTTTAAAAAACTCCAATCATCAAGTGCTATAATGATACAGAATGACTCACATAATTCTTTAAAATATTTAAAAATTTTCTTTAAAGTATCTATATTAATTGAATACTTCTTGTATACTCTACTGCTGTGACTTTATAATAAAAGCTGCAATCATATAAAATACATGAATAAATATTTCACTATAACATTACAGTCAGAAGGCACCAAAGAGTGACTCTACTTGACCAGAAGGAAGTAACTCAAATGTACTGGGATGTACATTTCTAACAAATTAATAAAATGTAAATATAAAATAAGATATAGGTACAAAAACTTGGTCCGTACCATGGGTGATATACTCTGAGAACTGCAGCCACTTCTACCTTGATATGGATGCATGTAATTCTGGTACAGTTGCATGCCATACTGCAGAGGAAATAAATAAAAGCACATTCTTACCATTTTTAATACACATAAAATTTGTTTAAAATAATCAATACTTTTATTAATTACACATCATTAATATAAAAAATAAAAATTATAAACTATCTTTAAAACAAATAAGCAACCCAAAATTTAAAAGGTAAACTTTTAGTTTTCTACAATGCTACAATTAAGAAGTATTTTTTTTCTCTTGGACCCATACTTAGCACACCAATATAGAGATCTGGAACTGACACTCCTACTCATTAATCCTAGCACCAATGGCTCAAAAACCACTGGGAGTAGTACATACCTAATAGTAAGGACACTCGACTGGGAAGGGTACCAGGTTTATGGTACAAATACTACAAAAACCTTACACATCTTAAGTAAACACAGGTAAAATTCACCATAACTCTTCAGTGACAGATTGAATAACATTTTCTCTCTGGCAAATTCACAAACTAGGCCCTTTGTTGAAGATTCTTGGCACTCTATCACTGGTAACAATACTCTTATGACACCATTCAATTTGGGTCTTTAAATTCAGGGAAATCAAAATGGTGAGTCATAAAATAAAACTAAATGCTTTAGACAGGATGCAAGCAGTAAGTTTGCTCTCCAGAGGTAGCTTCCTACGAAATTGGCTGCCAGACTACAACTGGAAAGCAGAGTGAATTATTACTCTGAGAGGCACAAGAATGCCAGCTTCCAAGGTTTATCTTGCAAGGTTTCCACCTGAAACTGTAAGATAATCCCCTCAGAGTTAAGTCATGTTGTGAAAAAAACAAAAAAAAAGGGGGACAAACAGGTTTTCCCCCCATTTTTTGGCTACACTGAACAATTCTCTCCATTCCATGGAGCCAAAAAGAAGTTCAAAATAGAACCTAGAACCTACACAAGAGATTAAAGAGACACCCTAGAATCCAATCTTACCCTTAGAATGATATCCATTTAAACATTCCAACAAAGCTGATTTTCTACTAAAGACTATTTCCTTAAAAACAATGACAGCCAAGTGGATATATTTAGTAATTAGGCAGAAAATCAGAAGGTGGTGAACACAGTCACTGTTTTCCAGATCTTGCTTTTAACAAGAACACAAACCCACACTCATATTCTGTGTTGACTTTTTATCCAATTATTTCCCAATTTCTAGAAGTTATTTTTTTTTAATTTAAGGTTTGAGTGACATTAATGGGATCTAATGAAACATATTTTAAATCAACTCAAAGCCCACAACAATATCTTATAAAAGAAGATGGGAAAGCTTAATTCCTAGTCAAATCCATTTTGGAGAACATACAGTAACCTTTAACCAACACTTTTACAAGGTGCATGCTGCTTTGCCATCTTTTATTTATTTGCAGTGAAAAGCCTGCCACCTACTAATAAGACTGTTTTCTTCAAAGATGTATTGTCCCTGGTACTTGGAGTGTTAGGTAGTTGCTTCTGTGCTGCTGGAGGCCGTTAGTAGGCATTTAATTCTGGCTGAGGCATATGGCTTGGGTCACCAAACATTTCCCTATCCTATGGAGGGGCAGATAAGGGACCAAAACATGTGTGCGAGAAGTTTAGCAGAGTTCTAGCTGAAGGGGAGGGAAGGAGACAACATGTAACTAGTATACTACATAAGCAAATCTCCTTTTTTTACGTCTCAGACTTTCTGTAATTCTATATGTAATTAGATTCCTCCAAAGAGAATGTCAGTATCTTTATCTGATGCTACCTGAAGAATTTATGTGTGTATGAGGAAAAGAAAGGGACATAAAAAATAAAATAAGAGACCGAATTTTGGGAGGAAGCGATATTTAATAAGTACAATCAACATAACACTGACTAGTTTCTTCCTGCTCTTCCTTATCCCAATGATAAACACAATAGACAGCCAAAGGGAACAATCAAAAGATAATCTCTAACACCAGGAGTGCATGGTTGCACCAGCCAGGGGGATCAAATGTATTGGTTGACTGACTTTGGAAGGGAGGAAGACAGCTTCCTGGGTACAGAGTTTCCTTTTGGAAATGTTTTGGAGGTTGCAAATTTTGAATGTACTAAATAGCATTGAACTGTTCACACTAAAAATAGTTAAACTGGTTAATTATCAGATAACAAGGCTGGAGGGCATCTCCTTTACCAGTTTAGTCCGTTTTCCAGAAATCTGACCAAAGAAGAGAAACCAGAGGCCTCAAGGCCATAACTGTTATTGGATAAAGTACAGAGTGTCCTTCTGGAATGTTTCGGTGATTGTAAATTTTGAATGTATTAAATGTCTCTGGATTGTTCACATTAAAAAATAGTTAATTTGATTAATTATGTGAATTTCATCTCAATTTTAAGAAATAAAAGAATAAAAGGATACTTCCAACTCTAGTTTGACAACTAGAAATTCTAATTCTGCCCTTTTTCAAAAAGAAATAATTAATAATTTGTGTAATTTCAAAATTAAAGCTGTGTTAAATTTACTAGTATGCAAGTTTGAAAAAAAATATGTATTTTCTATACATTCTGAAACAAACTAGTTCTGTGTCCTATCTCTCTTTAGGACATTCTTATCTCTTTTTCAAAATGGTCAGTCACAATTATGCTTATGAGGGCTGTAATTTTTACTTAGCTCAAAGGTAGATGATTTAATTATATATCTATAATAAAAGGTACACAATAATTTGATTTTAATTATTAAAGTAGAAAAAATTTAAATAATACTTAAATGAAATATAAAACAGCTACACTAAATATAACCAGGTGGACACATTTTAAAATCTATTTCATACGGTTATTGATGGCAATATTTTGAAAATGTAGATTAAGTCATATACAGAAGTTTTGGTCAGTTATACTTGCTATAGGTGTAATACTAGTACAAAAATAAAAATCAGCACATTTCTCAAAATGGAATTCTTACTCTGCACACAAAGGATAAATGTATTAGGTTTTTCTACTTTACTCTGCAAATGTTTATCTAGATAAAAAAAAATAAAATACACACATTTGGTGGTGGTTATTTTCTTCCTTCTCAAACACCAACATAGATTCATCCTGAGTCTTTGCCTTTTGAAATACAGATACTTTCAAACTTCTATGGTACTCACAGCATTTAATAGAAATTCACGCCTGCAGCGAGATTACCTTAAGCAATCTAATCGCAGTCACCCAGCACGTCCTACTCTGCTCTTCTTCTGCACAGAGCATTTTCAGGTCTCGGGGCCCTCCCGCTTTGTTAGGCTAGAAGGCCACAGCACATTGTTTATCGTTAATGCATATCTTGAAGGTAACACCTGTTGAAATAAAAGTCACTAAAATTCTCCTATATATGAGAGAAAGCTGTCTCTTTTAAACGAAATTAAAAGAAACTCAAGCTTACCTAAAAAGCTGATGCTTGCTTTATTCATCTATCAAAATACTAAGCCTGTACCTTAAAGCAGAATCCATAGTAAGTCGGTGCTCCATGTTTTTTTTTGCGTGCCAGTGACACATAAATATCACTATTGCCAAATTCGCTGAAAAACTGCAAATGCCGTGGTTCCTTAAAAAAAATATATGTGAGGGTTGAAATGCAAATTTTTTTCACACTTCTTCTTTTGTATTTCCATTATATTACATAACACTAACACGTTGGGGAAAGTTATTCTTTATAACATCACAGAAACAAAAGTAAGGATAAACCAAATCACTACCTCTTTAAATAACAAGGAGATAGAGATAATATTTAACTGGAGAACTGGCAGTTTGTTACTTAACCTCCAATATACAAGAAAAAACACTTGCCATTTTAAAATTATTCTCTTAGCCACCACTTAAAGCTACGCAAAGAAGAGAAGATAGCAAAAGAGGGCTTTTGAAAATGTTTTCCTTGTCCTGGTTTCAAACAATGGTAATTCAACAAAGGGAAGAAGGTTGGTTTGAGCTTCTGCAGCTGGTAGAAGGGGAAAAATTCCTGCTTCATTCAGTAATGATCACCCCTCACTTCTGTGTACTGCGTAATACAATACAGCAAGCAATGTGACAGGAAGCTTGACTATCTTCTTTACAAAAAGAAGGAAATCAGTACAAAGGAGTTCAGGGAAATTAGCTGGTAGTAAAATCTGTCTGATTTTTAAGGCAAAGTGGAATCATGAACAGCTATTTCTTCTCTGGGAAATCCATGAGATTTAGAGCTGATCATGGGAAATCACTGGGTCATATTATTTTGTGACACATTTAATAACCGGGAGAAGTGCTTAATTCTGGGGTTGAATGTGTAATCAAAACTGACCACAATGCATTTGTTTCTTTAAAATCTTGCTACTAGTAATGCTGTCCCAGACCAGCATATCAGTGACACCTGGGAGTCTATTAGAAATGCAAAATCTTGGGGCCACCCCAGACCTACTGAATTAAAATGTGCATTTTAACAAGACCCCAGGTGATTCATATGCCCTGAACTTCGGAGAAGGAGTGCTTAAAAAAAAAATAACTGAAAACAGAACATTCAGCTGCTTAAGCAACCTATTCAAATCCAAATCCAAAGGAATTTCTGCCATTTGCCAAAAGGCTCTTTCGTCCCTGGTGACTGAAGCAAGAGTTTCTGTGTTTGCCACCATTTCTTTCTATGTCACTGTTGTTAGTCATCTGATTTAATGAAAGGCTGTACTTAAAGACTCCATAAGAGAATAAGTCAGAAAAGAAAATTGTTAATAGAGACCTAGGCTAGGCTCCTTGGGATAGAGAAGGGAGAAGAAAGGCAGTCTTATTGTCAAGGTCTTTCAAGCTTTATTACTTGATAGAAACTAATTTACTAGTACAAAAAAAAAAAAAGATTTCTATGAAGATGGAATAAAGCTGTCCACTGATATTGTAGATGTCAATGTAGCTGAGTCATTTTGACGTGAGAAAACCACAGTTTAAAAAAACACAGAGAGGGAGTACGAGGCAAGATGACTTTCTTCTCTTGACTGATTTTTTGTTCCATTGCTGGAGACCTATCGGGGGCTATGACACTTCATGACAACAAGGCTGAATAGGCATGGGTAGCAAAATCTAAGCATGCACATGTGAAGATAACGGGGCAGCTGAAGAAGAGGATAGAGGATACTTAGACATTTCTCTGTAGATATAAGTCATAAGCACATCTCTAAGGCTTTAAGTAGTGGCTCTCCTCTATCTTCCATACAGACTACATCTTTAAAAGTAAAATAAATCAAAACCCTATCCATAGAAAGAGGACAGAAAATGGCCTCCTTGCCAGGTAGAATATTTGACACTAGAAAATCTACATAATTTATGTCAAATTGAGGTTATCTAATAATTCAAATTTCTTTTTTTTTTTTTTTAGAGGAAACTTATAGTTTCATGGATAGACCATAGCACATGAGTTCATTAGGCACAGGCCTGAGAGAAGAGTATTCTGTATTCACACACAGCAGCCAGACACTATGATGAGGAGAGCTAAAGTATGATCTGAAAATAAGAGTTCCAATGTCAGATTTACCTAGTCAAGAAGATCACTGCAAGGATAAAAGCATAGATCCAGAGGAAGGAATAAGAGCAGGTTTATTATAGAATGGGTAAGGAAGAGGGAAAAGAGAATAAATATATAGTAGGCAGTAGATTTTAAGGGGCAACCTGAGGAAGCAGTTAAGAGAGGGAAATAATGAGACACTATTGTAATAGAGTGATCCCCAGGGAAAACGGAGGTGCCAGGTTCCCTGCCCCACACAAAAAAAGGGTGGGACTGAGCAGGGAAGAGAAGAGACTGGAGAAGGTAGTGGAACGGGGTGGTCCCCAGGAAAGGGGGAGGTTCCAGGTTTCCTGCCCCACCCAAGGGAGGGTGGAGCTGAGCAGGGAGAGAAGAAGCTGCAGAGGAGACTGAGGAAGGAAGCAGGATGGAGCCAGAAGGAGACCTGGAGGAGGCACACAGAGCCGAGAGACACGTGAAGAAACTGCGCTTGTCTTTTGGTAGTGGACGGGGTGACATAGACGTGGGTGAGACCCGTGTGGAGGTGACAATGGCAGCATTTATCTTGATTTTGATTTTGCTCTTCTCCTTCTGGGCTTGTCTGGTTGTTTCTGACCCTTTTCTGTGGGTCCCCACTGGAAGATGCTTTGGACTTGTGGCAGGCTTTGGGGCCTTGCTCTGGGCCAATCCCATTTGGATGGAGTTTTTTACCCACGAGGGAATGGGTAACTTTGGGTGCTTGATTTAGAAACTAGATTCTTTGCCTTTCCTGTATTGTTTCCTAACTGTATTAAAGTTCCTTCCCATTTAAGTCTCATGTTTTGTGTCAATGCAGCGGATGGCAGAACCCTATATAGAATAGGCAGGTTTGCGGGGTTTGGGGTGCCCCTCTCACTGCCCTGTAACAGTAGCAGGATGCAGAGCCAGAAGAAAACTGGAGGGGGCACATGGAACAGAGAGACAGGAGAAGAAACTGCGCTTGCTACTTATTCCTAGACTGGTTGAAACAGATGTGGGTGAGAGACCCATGGGGAGGTTAACAATGGCAGTGTTTATCTTGATTTTTATTTGTTCTCTTCCTTTCAGACATGTTGGGCCCCTTCTACCCTTTTTCTATGGGTCACCACCAGAAGCTGCTTTAGACTTGTGGCAGGTTTTCGGGACTCAGTGGCCCTGATATGGGTCAACCCTGTCTGGCTGGACATTTACCCACAGGGGATGGGTAACTCTTGGTGCCTGATTTGGAAACTATATTCTTTGTCTTTTCTTTGTTGCACACTAATTGTAGTAAAGTTCCTTTCCATTGAAGGTCTTACTCACTAGAGTATGTTTTTTCTTAATACAGTGGATGGCAGAAGCTAGAGTGGGCAGGTTTGGGGGTTTTGGGGTGCCCCTCACCCTGCCCTGTAACACTATCACATCTTCTAGTGAAGAATCACTAGAAAGACAGTGAGATCAACATGACTACTAGATTTAGAAACCACTGTTGTTTGATGTTAAGTAAAAAAAAGATGATCCAGTACACATTTACTTAAAAAGACTGTTACAAGTTTTGTTTTGGTTTTTTAATTGAAGTAATATTGATTTACATTGCTGTTTGTGTTTTGGAGACATAAGATGCCCCCTTTCTGGTGCTGTTAAACTAGGGGTCCCACCACGAAAGCACCCATAGTCCACCACCATAGCCCACAGTGTCACAAGTTATTTAATGCAATTAGAACACTGGGAAAAGGAAGTTCATTGAAATAGTTAAGAAAAAGTCTAAAACCTTAACTATGAAAAAGGGTAATTATTCATCCCATCATTGTCACAGACTAATTTGAAAAAAATTAAATGCATCTAAATGATAGACTATTATCAGCCAAACAATAAACACTTAATAAAAGATTCAGTAAGGGGATGGTTACTAAATTAGAGGAGCCCCATTCCAAGAAGTATTGCACCACATATACCTCAAAGAAACACATATTCACACACAAAATTAAAGGAAACAATATATTCGGAAAAAAAGGAAATTATTCACAACATTTGGGGAACATACAGAAGAGACAAGTACTATTCCTTTCAGGTCATATCTTATATTATGACCCCTGCCTAAATAAGGGGTCTTCATTATTAACTGTGTTCTGGGCATTTACATTTGGATACTTCACCTTCAGCACAATATATCTAGAACTAAGTTAATCTTTCTTCTAAGACAATGACTTTCTAGCAAATATTCTATTCCTATTTGTTCCACTTATTTCTTTTTCTCTAAGTCCATTTTCTTCTTCTTTTCCCATCTGTCAAGAAAAAACAAAAACAAAAAACCCTGGCCATTTACCATTTAATCTATCCCTTTATTCCTTTCTTCATTGTTCATCCTAGGTTAGACTCATCACCTCCATCCTGGGTTACTGAAATGATCATCTAAGCCTCCAGTCAATCTCTGTGTGTGTGAGAATCTTCTCTCTCTTCCTCTCCCCCCACCCAGAGCTCTCTCTCTCTGTGCCTCCACTCTCTGTCTCCCTTGCTCCCACCCCAACTCTTCCTCTTTCTACTTGGTTTTTAACCTACCTATGGTCATACTAATCTTCTTATGACTTGATCATTTCATTCTTTTTCTCAAAATTTTTCACTGGCTTCCTGTAGTGAGTTGAATGATAGCTTCCAAAAAGATATGTATATGCCCTAACACCAAGAAACTGAATATTCACTTTTTGTAAAAAAAAGGTCTTTGCAGATGTAATTAAGTTGGATCAAGAGATGAGATCATCTGAGATTATCCTGGTAGGCCCAAAATTCAGTGAGAATTGTCCCTACAAGAGATACACAGAGAAAGAGGAGAAAGTCATGTGAAGACAGAGGCAGAAATTTGTATTAGGCAGTCATAAGCAAAGGGACACCTGGTGCCATGACTAGCCAAGACAGAAAATTCTATTGAAAAGTTAATGGATCAAATAATGAGAATGAGAAATAAATAACGGATGAACATTTCGAGCATCAAAGGAAAATATGAGTTTACAGACTGAAAGTGTATGTTAAGAATCAAGCATGATTTAGCTGAATATGTTTGAACACACCTACAAATATGAGAGGAAAATTACTGAACACCAATGTTTATAATAACATTGAAAAGCAGCCAGAAAAAAATGACAGCTTATCCATAAAGAAGCAACAATGTTGTTTCTGACAACAGACAAATGAAATAAAATTAAAATAACCTCATGAAAACTCTCAAAAGTAGTCTTACTTAAAAGATATCAATGAATTACATTAAAGTCAACACTTCCAAAATAGAGACCATATGTCACAGCTGACATCTTTTAGACTACATAGAAACACAGACTACATAATGCTGAGCACTGTGGGAATTAACATACGTGATACATAAGTGATTGTATACATGTACATGATATCTACATTGTGTATGTCTAGGTAACTATATGCATAGTTAGATATATACAAGCACACAAATAATTACATCTACCCTTGATCACAATATGGTAACTTCCTTCAGGAATTTACAATCTAGTTAAGGAGATGAAACTAATACACACAACAGAATTAAAGAGCAGTAACAGACTCAGCTGGGTGTTACTAACTCCATCAACATCAACTGAAGTCCAGAGGTGGGCAAAATCAGTAGTGTTAACCATGGTAAAGAGAAAAGATGTGGCCTACATTGGGCCTCAAAATCTGCAGCCTAGGATAAGGAAAAGGGATGAATCAATGAGGGAAGAAATGAGCAAGGTATATGGTACTGAACTATGAGCATCCAGATTCCATCAAAGGATTTATGTTGAAATTAGTGGGAAATAAAGAATAATATTTAGTTTTTAAGCAGATTATGAAAATGTTTGGCATAAAAAAAAGATCAGCCATTGAAATCAAGTAATAAAGTAGAACCCATTTTAGCTTACAACTTACACATGATTCATAATATAGCACAGATATTTCAATTTACCTTTGATGTCCCTTTAGTAGAAAAATATAAACCAGATCTTCTTAGAAGGAAATAAATCTTTTTCCAGGACTTCTTTCCCTGTTCTTTTGCATGTAAGAAGCCATGTATTTCAGGATATGTGCTTGAACTCAGAAACATCTGTAAGAAAAATCCAAACTCTCAAACTTTTTGAATAAATGATATTGTATCCTTATACCAACCCTGTGAAGATTTCAAATATAAATGTAAAATCAAATTGTTGATACCATTTATACACTATTACAGAAATGACAATTTATATAAACACAAAAGAAATCAGTCTTTCAAAAACATGAGGTAAATTCCACATGAAACTATATTCATAAAGTATACATTCTAAATGATCAAAACTTCGCAAAACACAAACATTATATGCTATTTTAATGTCCACTTGAAAAACTGGATTTTAGTTATGGAGTTATGTCTTTATAGTTTTCAGCCTTTCCTATGATTTTCCATGAGATTACTTATCAACTTCAATGTCATTCTGGTATAAAAAAGACTAGAGGGCCTCCCCTGGTGGCGCAGCGGTTGAGCGCTGGGCTGCGAAGCTGCCCGCAGCCTCTGCAGCACCTGTTCGATCCCCGGCCACGGGAGAGGGTCCCACATGGTGCGCAGACCTCTCCTGCCGCCAGGTGCTCCCCTCAGCAGTGCATTTCATCAGTCTGCCTGTTCTGTTCCCTGCTCTGGCTCTGGTGAATTCTCTCACCTTACTACGCTTCTGACTGTACCCAGTGCTTGTATAAATAAATAATTAAAAAAAAATCTTTAAAAAAAAAAAAAAAGACTAGAAGCCTGACTCCAATTATTTAATTACTAAGCTTGTTCAGCAAAGTTCACCTCTTTGATAAGGGTGAAGCAAATGATCTCTATTCTATCTGCCATAATTCTATGACTGGTTTTGTTTTCCAAAGAGAATGGCAACAATATCTTTCACTCCACATAGGCTACTGCAATGTGATCTTGCCAGTGAACCAAGAAGAGGTGTCTATTTCTCAGGTCCCTTGACTATAACCAAGACTTATGACTGCTTTGACTAAAAGAATATGGCAGGAGTAATAGTTGGCTAGAGCCAACTGACATCCTTAACTGGTTGGATGGTTTCCACTACTTAACTCTTGGAAACCTGACTTGTGAAATGTGACTACACTGAGACCACTGTGCAGTAAAAAGCCCCATGCAACTGGAAAAGTCCTGGAGGGTGATCAATATATGAAGAAAGAGAGTCCATGGAGCACAGGCACACATAGTGAAAAGCAGGGGATCCTCAAGTTCCCACACCTCTAGTCCTTGCGCCTCAAGAGATAATCCACACAGCTAACCCCATCCCAAATTCCTGACCCACCAACTTGGCAAAATGTGAGTGGGTACTTAGTCCATTAATGTTTAGAATAGTTTGTTACACAGTAATAATTAACTGAGGCAGGGAACATTGTTAGTGAGGAAAAGAAGAAAGAAAAGGAATAGCTCTGAGTGGCTGTGCTGAGCATCCTTAATAAGACAGTGGAAACACATTAGTGTTCATTAAAAGCAGAAGCCACATGAATAAACAAATGCAAAATGGAAACACTGAAAGTAAGAAAAATTATTAGCTTAAACAATGTAACACTTTAAAAGGCTACTGAGGGAAACACTGATAGTAGGTATTTGTGTTTTTTTCCAAGTAAATTACTTAAAAAAAAATTTTAACTTAATGAGCCACAGTTATTAATTAATTGACATGCAAAACAGGGAAGTCGTTTTTTTAGTTTGAGTGCTTTCCAAGTTATTAAACCAAACCAATTAAATTTTAAAAAGCGAGTCAGAGAGGTCACACTAGTAGAAGAAGAAACGTTTTAAAAAGTGGAAACATTGCCTCAGTGGAGAGAAAGGGTCAGGGGCACATGCAGGACTACCTGATTCCAAAGCTATGCCTTTTCTCCTGTTTATAATTTAACATTAAAGCAATATAATTCTATTAGGAGAATTTGGGAAAGGAGTAGAAGAAAACTCCCAACACACCGCCCTGTCATCAGACATGAGAAGGGTCCCAGACACTGCCGCTGCAATCCACCTGACATTCTGGCAGGGTGTCTGCAAGCCCAGGAGCATAGGCATGGCCTTTAGAAAAATCTCTTAAAAATAATCAGAATTTTAAAATATTCTAAAGCACAAAAATGAAATCTAACCTATATAAAAGTCTAGGAAAAAGAAAACACAAAAACAAATCTTTGAAGGGTTTACCTACCCAATATATTTAATGTCATATCTATACTGGAAATATTCAAAGTTTTCCTTACTAAAGATCAAAGACTTTTGAGTGGGTTTGGGGATGCCTGGTGCTTCAGACAGACAGGAACTAATAAAAAGACATTGTTCAATATCAACTTGTTAACTGCATAGCTTCTGATGTGAAATCTACAGATCAAAAATTAAATAACTGAAACTCTATTTTAATGAAAATATCTCAGAAAATGATTGCCTAAAGCCACTAACAATATGAGAGAAATGAACCAAACCATTGCAAAACTCGAATTTTTATTTAAATAGTGAACTAATGTCCATTCTGCTAAGAATATTTCACAATTCTATTCTTCAAGTATTTCCATCAGAATTACTACAAATATTGTATAAAATAGATAGTTGATATCTTTTTCTTCTTTCACTTAATGACTAATTATTTTCCACACAGAGGATTGAAGCCATTTATTATAAAGGCTAATATCAAATATGTTAGTAAAATGTCTACAATTTATTAGGAATTTCAGTTTATGAAGACTAACATAATATTTCAACACATCACAGAGCAAAACTCTACAAGTTTCCTTTCATGATACACATTTTTTTCCAAATACTTAAAATCCTTTGACTATTGGCCAAAATGAGAAAGAAAAAAAATCATTAAAGGGCTTTATCTACATAGGGAATTCCTATCTGGGGTTTTTCTCTTCTGTTTTCAATTTTACCTCCAGCAAAAATTAGTCATTGCAAGTCATAACATTTCAATATCTGACAATGTATAAATATGAACCTTAAAGTTTCCATTTATGATATTACTACTTACATACTTTAATGAAAACATATTTTACCTGCAAAATCTGTGTGGGGGATATTTCACCATTGGTTTCAGTTGCAAAGGACACCATATGCTCTGGAAAAAAATACTGACGAAAAGACACAGGTTACATCACCCCAAAACCCGTGCTAGAAAAGATTCCATCATGATCAATACAGTAATTTAAAGCAAAAGTTCTTTAAATAAATCAGAATTTAAAATTTACTTCAAGTGAATGCAGTTCCTGGACTTTACCCTCAGGTTTCTTAATGAGAAGGTATGGTATATAAGCCCCAAAGATTAGAAAATACTCTCAAATGAACATATGCAGAGAGAGCCACCTACTATGAATTATAAAACAATGCCTTCAAGTCTACAGCCTGCTTAATTCCATAGCTCTTCATTAAGTCCTGCAACCATTCCAGCAGGTGCTAAAGGACTATCCAGTCAATCTTTATAAAGTCAAGGCTCAGAGAAGTAAAAAGACTAGCACTAGCCACAATCACTGCCCACAGTATTGAGGAGCCAGGACTTATACTAGAGCTAGGGAGCTAAAAGTCCCATCTTTGCACCTACTGCTTTCCAAAGTTACTAAAATTAACCCAGGGTGATTGTTTAAAATAGGGAGTGAATGATTCAGTAGGACTGGGTAGGTCCTGTATTGTTAATAAGTACTCCCCTAGATAATTTGTATGGTAAGACAAACTTTAGAAAATATATTCTACTGTTTTCCAATTGGACAGGGTTGTTCAATAGTAATTCTACTAACATTTGGTCTAAGATGTGGGAGGCTGTCCCATGCACTGTAGGATGTTTAGTAGCATTCATGGTCTCTACCCACAAGCATCCCTCCTGACCCTCAGTTATGATAACCAAAAATATCTCCAGACATTGTCAAATTGCCTCCATCCCCAGTTGACAACTACTACTCCAGGTCTACAAAATAAATGTACAGCCTTGTTTAAATAAAACAAACAAACACCATGTCTTTAAATATGACTTGTAACTTCTTGCTTTTAATAAAGATTCACAACAAGAAAACAATTTCCCTTCAAATTCTATAAAATTTTATTAGGACTCTTTTTTTTTTTTTTTTTGTTAAAGATCATTCCATTATGTATCTCCTAATAGGTTCAAGTAAAAAGCAAATATAAGAGGTCTTTCAGGGTTTGAAAATATTCTACTATGGCGTGTATCATATATTTTTCATAAAGCTTCATTTCAATCCAATTATCCAAAACTTAGTGTAAAAATATGCTACAGCTGCAGAGACAAAACAATTTAAAATAATGAGCCCAGAGGCTATTCTGACTTCTCCAGATCCCTTGTCTTCATTAGAATGTGACATACATTTACTTTCTTTTTAAAGAGGACTATAATGAAAGTAGTATTTACTAGATAATGCACTGATCTTTATCTCATTTCTACTTAGCTCAGTAATTATTGCTTTGAAAACAAAATAATTTGAAACAGCAAGATTCATGTCAATCTTAAATTTCTGGCAAAGTTATATCACTTCCAACAGTTATCAGTCTATTTTTACTTTAAAAATTTTCTCTTTAAATTTCCTTAATTCTGTGAAAAGTGTTGACCTATAAAATTTTGGAAACTGCTTGAGAATATATATTGATATTCATTGCCCAAATCAAATGTACAGCAGAATTTTTTTCTGAGAAGGAAAGCAATTGTTCCCCAAAGCTAGGATTCTCAGTACTTTTAAATTAAGTAACTTATCCAAATCCATCTTAGTCAATTCAAACTTTTTGCCATTATGGTTAAAAAAAATTCACCTGTACATATGAACTTCTGTGTATGGTGCTAACTAATCATTGTCAGAGAAGGAATGTGATTATAATTATAATTTTAAAGAACTACAATCTTACCAAATAGAGAATTGTATTTTATTGATAGTGATTTTTTAAAATTTTAATTGTATTTTTATTGTGTTAATATTGGTTATAATACTGTATATGATTTGTGAATAGTGACTTGACATAAATAAAATAAATTTAATTCATTCATTTTTTCCACACTATTAATAGTAATTTCACTTACCATTGGGTTTTTAAAGAATTCATATTTGGCATAATTTTTTCTAAAGTATAGCTTATTTTCTTCTTCCATTCCCCAGTTAGATAGCACTTCAATCACCAGCTCATGGTCTTCTATTGTTCTTTCTGTAAAGAATGTTTTATTGATTATGTTGACAGATATATGAATAGATGGATGGATGAACCCAGACAGATTATATATATAGCAAATTCCAATTCAATTCTGAAAAAGCCAAAATGATAAAATTTTCATCAATTTGAATTAGTATTGTTGATTTTTACATCAATGCAGACTGCAACCTGAAAAGAAAAATGATATAAAATATCACAATGTGTTTTTTGCTAATTCCAAACTCCTTTTATTGCTATGTAAATTATAAATTTGATAATAAATTTTCATTACAGATATGGGAGCTATTCTATTCCTCCAGCTCATAATGACTCCAAAATACAAATATTTGCCTCAAGGTCAAACAATTCACCCCATGAAATTTTGACAGTTTGAATATGAATTTAAGACACATAATCTGAATAGCTGAGAACAATTAAAGCAAAAGCTTTAAAAGTAAAAATTTAATATAAGCACATATAATTTTTGAAGAAGCCTATTTTCATATGGTACTTTGTACTTTCAGAACTAAAATTCAGGCAAATAGATTTTGTATTAACAATGAAAATAAGTGGATAGGATAGAAAAACTCTTAATAGGAAAGGCACTAAATGAAATAAGCAATGATAACTTGCTTGAAAAAACAGAAAACAACACGCACAATTTTTTTAAAGATTTATTTATTTTTATACAAGACCTGGGGTACAGGCCAGAGGTGTGGAAGGGTGAAAGGATTCATCAGAGACAGAATGGGGAGCAGAACGGGCAGACAGACCGAAATATACTGCTGAGGGGAGCAGCGGGTGAGACAGAAGAGGTCTGCTGCGCCATGTGGGTATCTCCCTGGCTGGCTGGGAATGGAACCCACACTGCAGAGGCTGCAGACAGCTCCACAGCACCACACTCAACCCACTGCACCACTGGGGAGGGCCAGCATGCACAATTTTTATTGTAATAAGAAGCTATGTTGTTCATAATAAGCCTAATCAGGACAGCCCCAAGATGGAAACTATCCAAAGTCATATGAACATGAGAATGAATAAACTATGTAAAATCAGTGGAATATATGCTACAACTGTATTGATGAATTTTACAAATGTAATATTAAATGAAATAAGTCAAAAGCAGAGTACAGACATGATTCTATTCATGTGAGGAACAAAACAAATAAAATAAACATATGGCATCACAATCAGGATAATGGGAATAGTGGGTGAGTGAACAGGAGTGTCAAGGGAACCATTGGGATGTGGAAAATATATTGTTCCTTGTCTTAGGTGTTGGATACTCAGGTACATGCAATGGTTGAGAATTCTTCAAGTTGTCTATATAGGTTTGGTCACTTTTCTTAATGAATGTCACACTACAAAAAAAAAAAAGTTTCAAGAAAAACAAATGTGAGATTACTAGCACAAGCAAGAAGCAGAGAACAGCCAAATAAGGAATACAAAATTCTTTGTTTTCTTTAGGTGCTTCTAGGACCCTTTTGAAAACTATCTGTGTTTCAGAAATTCAACTCTCAGTAGTGATCTGTGACCTAAAACACCCGAACCCTTGAAAGTAATGTTATATTTAAGGAGAAGTTTATTCATCTGAAAGGAAGTTCTTCTAAGAGTGCTCAATGAATATGGATGAGTTTGAGCTAAGTGTGTATCAACACTCAGGGTTCTGTTCCTAACTGTGATTGCTCCTTTTCTGTCTCACTGACTACTAATGTTCATAGCTCCTTCTCCCTCCTAAGACGCAGTCCTTGGCTCAACAATTTTCTCTTTTTCTCTGAACTAATTATCTCTCCTCTCTTCAGTTATCAGGTCTGTCAAGTTCCTTGATGTGAAACCTCTGGACACCTTTGCTTTCATTCTTACTCCAGTCCTAACTGTTTAGACTCTCCACCATCTCCAACAGTTTGTCTAAAGTCAGAGTCAGTGTGATGCTCCTCAAAATATTGAACATTTTCAGCAATTGTGTTTCTGAATCTGCAACCCAAAAAAGGTGAAAGCAGGGGCTGGAACAGCTATATGTAGACCAATGCATATAGCACCATCATTCAGAAAAGCCAAAAGGTGGAAACATTCTAATGTCCATCAACAAATGGTTGGATATACAAAATGTAGCATATACAATGGAATATTTTGCCTTAAATAGGAATGAAATTCCAACACATGTTATAACATGGATAAAACTTAAAGGAATTATGCTCCATAAAATCAGACAAATAAAACAGAAGAGATACTGTATGATTTCATCGTTAAATTGTTAAAATTCCAATACAAAGTCACTTATACCAGGCCCCAGGAAGACTTATGAGCATTCTAACTGCAGTTTTAGCCTCTCCCAAAAGTGGAATTTTAAACCAATCAATCTGGAATTTCCTGGTTAGCACTGGTGAGGTAATCTGCATAAGACTTGCCTCTCCCCCTCTTACCCTTGCCTGAAACAATCTTTCCTTTCTTTTGTTAAGAACTTTGTGCCTCCCTCTTGTATTTTTCATATTTTTTTTTTTTAAATTGAGGTAACATGGTTTACAACATTGTCCCTTTTTCTGACTATTAAAAAAACCTTCCATTTTGTACAACCCTTGGGAGTGTCACACTAGCTAGATGGCATGTTGCCTGATTCATGAATCCTTGAATAAGGCAAATTAGATCTTTAAATTTATTCAGATGTTTTGTTTTTAACACTTTATGAGACAGGACATAGAATGGTGGTTGAGGGGAAGAGGGAAGGAATGAGGAGGTCTTACTTAATAGGTAGAGAGTTTTGCTATGGTAAGATAAAAATGTTCTAAGATGGATGATGGTTATTGTTACACAACAATGTGAATGAACCTAACACAACAATGTGAATGAACCTAACACCAATGAACTATACATTTAAAAATGGATAAGAGCCTCCCAGGTGGCACCAGGATTAAAGCACATGCTATCAAGCTCTCGCCAGCCACTGCAACATGACTCCACTCTCCAGCAAAGGAGCTACCCAAATGGTGCGGCAGACCTCTATTGTCTCACCCGCTGCTCCACTCAGTGGTGTATTTCAGTAGATCTACCTGTTCTGCTCCCCACTCTGTCTCTGGTGAATCCTCTCACCCCCCACACCTCTTGTCTACACCCCAGTTCTTGTATGCATAAAGAAATCTTTTTAAAAAAGAATAGCATATTATGTACATCTTACCAAAAAAAAAAATTAACCTTGAAAACAGTCAATTTTTTTTTCTCTCTCAAACTGGGCTTTTTCTAAATTCCCCTATCTCCAGTACATCTTTCTCTATATCCACTCCAATAAATTTCACTCTTGTCATCCTCAGATATCAGAAATTTTTCCTCTGAATGGCTCTTACACAAGCAACATCACCCCCCACTCACCCATTCCCATTGTTAATACTACAATTTAGATCTTCACCTTTTCAGAACTAATCTTCAAACCTCTACTATTATCATTCTTCCAACCCAAATCTAGACACTAATATCACAATAAACTTTATAAAACATTTGTATCAATATAATCCCTGCTCAATAAAACTTGCCTACTTCCTCCTTGCTATGAGCTAAGTCCATTCAACAAATACTTATCAAGGCCTATCACATGTCAGACATTCATCTTGGTGCCAGGGATTCTGTAGTGGCCAAGACAGTCAAAAATCACTATCTAGTGAAGTAGAAGGTTTTTTAATAGTCAGAAAGAGGGATATTGTTATAAACCATGATACCTTTATTTATATTATGTAAGAAGGGGCAAGGTTATTAGCAAAAAAAAAGAAAGATTGTTCATTCCAATGGGAGGATACAGACAATATATAAAATGTAAATCTTTAAAGCTGGCAATAAACACTGGAAGAAAACAGCACAGGGCAGGGACAGAAAGGATGCATAAGGGACAATAATTCATTTCCAATACATTGCCAAGGAAGGCCTCCTTGAGAAAGTAATGTTTGAACAAACACCCTGAGGAGAAGAGGGCATGAGCCAAGCAGACACCTAGAGGAAGCCCTTGAGGCAAGAGCAAAGCTGGCATGTTTGAAGCATAGCAAGGAGATTAATGTGGCTGAAGCTGAGTGAGCAAATGGGAGAATACCAGGAGATGTCAGAGAAACTGCAGTGATGGGGGTAGGGAATGATAAAGCCCTGCAGTTCACAGTAAGGATTTGGCTTTTCCTCTGAGTTATATGAAAGTCATCCTGAACAGAGAAATAACATGAACTGACATGGATTTTCATTGGATCACATCGACTGCTGAGTGAAAAACTGGTCTTAAAAGGCTTACTGGTGAAAGCAGAAAGGCAATTTAGTAGACTGTTGTAATTAACAAGGGGAGAGATGATGTGGCCTGGATGAGAGTGACAGCACTGGACCTGGAAGAAGCAGGCAGACTGTGGATAAATTCTGAAGATACAGTCAACAGGATTTGCTGATAAATCGGATGTGGAGTGAAAGAGAGAGGGCAGTTAAAGGAGATACCAAGGTTCGTGGCCTAAGCACTTGGAGGGGCTGAGCTGCCATTAATAAATGTAAAAAATGTGATTTGCAGAGTGATCCAATGGCTACTGAGATATCAAGTGGGAAGTTGCATCCTTAACAATCTTTCTATCCTCACTTTTATGTACTTCCCACAGATACCCAGCAGGTTATTTTCAAGCTTACGAAACAGGTTCACATTATTAAACACAGTAAATGCAAAGTACTGTATCTATATTCATTGTAACTGCAGTGAAAAAAATAAACTGCAAGGTATTAAATATTTTAACCACTTGTATTTCTTTTTTTTTTAAAGATTTTATTTATTTTTGCATATAATAACTGGGGCGTAGGCTGGATGTGTGGGGGCAGGTGTGAGAGGATTCACCAGAGATAGAGTGGGGAACAGAAAAGGCATATCTACTGAAATACACTGCTAAGGGGAGCAGTGGGAGAAACAGGAGAGGTCTGCTGCACCATGTGTGGGTTAGCTACCTGGCCAGGGATTGAACTCAAGCCACTATGGAGGGTCGTCATGGTGGTAGTTCTGAGATTAACCCTTA